CATCTTTATGAGAGTACGAAACTACATTCATTCAGACCCTATTAGTTTGACTCTCTCGGCCTTATCCTGGAACTTCCCTCAGCACTAGGGTCCTCCTTGCCATGGAAACCCACCCATCCCTAGGAACTTTCTCAACCTGGATCATCCCACTGTAACGGGATGTCCTCTTCTCCCACTGGTGGATTCCTCCTGCAGTCTTAATTTTGTGGAAAGACCCAGAGCAGCCTTCACTCCATCCCTTTTAAGTTTCCTTTTGTGTGTTGTTTTCCCCCCATTAAAATGTAAGCTCTATCAGGGCAGAAACTGACTTTATTTTTGCTTTTATCTGTAATTCTAGTGCTTAGCATAATACTTGGCATATAGTAAATGCTTAATGTTTCCTTCCTCCTTCCTTCCATCTCTTCCTTACTTTTTAAAAAAATTTATTTTTTATTAATTTTTTTTGTCTCTTCCTTACTTCTTGCTTGCTTTTCTTGCTTCTCTCCCTCACTCTTTCTTCTCTCCCTTCCCCCTCCCTTCTTCCTTCCCTCTTTTCCTTCTTCCTTCCTTTCTTCCTTCCTCCCCTCCTCCCCTTCTTACTTCTTTCTTTTATTCATTCCTTCTTTCCCTTTGAGGCCATCCCCTTTCCCACTCTAACTTCCCTTCCAAACTTATCTTCTCCCCCTCCATGTACCCTACCTATTTCACTATTATGACTGTTATATTCTTTAATTTTATTTTTTTAAGGTTTAAAAAAGAGACCTTTCTTTGCCCAGACTAGATAAGAGTGAGGTTAATGAGACTCCTTATGGTGTTTCTTCCCTTAGACATTTTGTTTTGAATACTCAAGCACACGGCTTGCCCCCCCCCCACTCCCCACCCCTGTCACGCACACAATTAGCTCTTAGGGATAGTCTCTTCTTCCACTTTCAGGATCTACGGACTTAGACACTGCAAAACAGTCTGAAAAAAGCTTCCTTATACTTCTAATGTTGCTCTCTATGTTTTTCTTTTAAAATCTCTTCAGTTCTAGTTTTTTTTTTCCAGTAGAAGTGCTTAGAAGTCATGGATTATGAGTTTTTTGTTTTTGTTTAGATCTGTAACTTCATTACAAAATGAAGAAACACCCTTAGTTAATACTAATCAATAATTATTATGCAACTTATATACTTAGAGAGTTGGCTGGGTCACTAAGAGGTTGTGATTTTCCCAGGTTCACACAAATGGTTTGCCAGAGTTTGAACACAGGTTATCTTGCCTCAAAGGCCAACTCTCTATTCATTATACCATTCTTCCTCTTATTAACACTAGCTTGTTATGTTAAAAGTTCTTTTCACCTATAGAATTATGATTCTATCATTACAAGTCACTTTCTATGTTTTTGATAAGTCACATGCCAATATTTTCTTTTCTTTCATCTACTTGCTCCATAGTCCCACACAATTCTGACTGATGTTTCATGGTTGTACCCGTGGCCACCATAGTAGGGAGCCAGTCACCTTCCCTTTTCTCCTCCTCACCCAGTCTACCAATCTCCTTGCCTCATTTCCAACAGGTTTTGGGCACTCACTCTCAGCTAAATGCTGAGTTCTTTCTCTCATCCCACTTCTCTTAGAAGTAACTCTGAATCAATCCCACTTTACTCATACCCTGGGACTTCTTAACCTCTTCCCAGCAGTCATTGGTGGAGGGAGACCATTTGCCTGTTTATTACACTCAACTTCCTTGGGACCTTACCGTCTTGGCCTTCTACTTTGCCTGACAAATCCTAGGCATCTCCTAGTCTTTCCATCTGCTGTAAATTGGCATCTTCCATTATGTGTTGTTACACCCAATTAGAATATGAGATCTTTGAAAACAGAATTGAAAGCCTGGTTTTCTATTTCTAACCCCAGTGCTTGGTATGTAGTGGGTTGTTACTACGTGCTCTTCCATTTCATTCTCATAGCTCCTTATTGCCTCCAGGATCAAATATAAAATCCCGTTTGGCTTTTAAAGCCCTTCAAAACCTGGCCTCTTCCTACCATTCCAATCTTCTTACACCTTACTCTCCTCCATGTATTTTGTAATGCAACGACATTTACTTCACACAGGACACTCTGTCTCTTGACTGTTCATTTTTACTGGCTGCATTCCATGCCATTCCATGTCATTCTCTCCCTTCTCATCTCCAACTTCAGGCTTTTTTGGTTTCCTTAAAATTCCAGTTAAAAATTCCACCTTCTACAAGAAGCCTTCCTGATTTCCCTAGTGCCTTCTCTCTGTAATGATCTCCAATTTATCCTGTATATATCTTGTTTGTACATACTTGTTTGCATATAGTCTCTCCTATTAGACTGTGAGCTCCTTGAGAGCAGGAAGTGTCCCCACCTCTCTTTCTTTGTATCCTCAGTCCTTAGCACAGTACCTGGCACATATTAGGTGCTTAACAACTACTTGTTCATTTGACCTGTAATCTACATCTTCTTTGTAATACATATTACAAGTAATATATATGTACAAAGTATGTAGATGATAGATCATATACAGGCATACATGTATGTATGTATGTGTATTTTAATAACTTAAAACCTTATGAAGACTTCTTGAACACCTTGTATGTCTATCTCAGATGATTCTGAATCTTGGCATGTTGTTGTTGTTTGTCCCATTTTCAAAGATAACCAATAAAATTATGGGGTGATGTCTTGACTTGTGTGTGAATTGGATTTAAGTGAGAGAGCTGTGCAAAGTTGGCAGCCTCACTCTCTCTTACTGAGTCATTGAAATCCATTGGCAAGGCAACAGTCAAGATGACTGGTGATGGCCCAGGGTACAATAGATGACCTTGGCATTTTTGATGTCTGTAGATGCTCCACGGCATATCTGGGTCTTGTATTTGGGGTTTGTGGTGGTAATCTTTGAATTCTTACCAAGCTACACTTTGACCTCTGGATCATTTGGGAAACTTTTTAGTTTCTGATAAATTTTCTTTTATGATTTCTTAAAGTGTGGTACTTGGACTTTTTGCTTTAATGTGCTCTTATGAGAATGTTATGATTCTTAGATTCTCTTTTTGCTTTGTCTTCTGAGTCAGTTGTTTTTGCTACTATATATTTCACATGCTCTTTCAGTTATTTTTAAAAAATGCAATTTGTGATTGTATCATTTGAGGTGGTTTCATTAATTTTTTTCTGGATGTCCTCTATGCTTAAATTTCATAACTTTCATTCTAGGCAGTCTATCCCACCCTTCATCTCTTCTCTGTCTCTTTATTGAGTCCTCTAACCTCTCACAGAATACTTGTGGGCATTCCACATTCTTTTCTGAGGTTACTACATAATTATTTTCTTTTCACATTTTATTCTAGAATTCTTTCCCTCTGCCCCATATTTCATTTTTTTTAGGAGTTTTCCTCTGATTTATTTCCTTAGTCCCTCCATTTTTCCTTTCTCCAACCCTGTACCTTGGAGGCCTTAACTGATGAAATTCTCATTACTGAGGCAGTGGAAGGCTGATTAAATTGTTGTTGAGGGTAAGGAGGGATTGGTGAATGATTTTGGTATTGTCCATCTCGTGTAGTTTTAAAACTTTCTTTGACTCAGTGGTTGTTAAAAGCATTCCCTTTAAGCAAGGAACATGGAGTGAAAAGTCCTCTGTATGAGGTACAAGGTGCTGCTGACTACATCGGATTTTAGGGTGCTTGGTGAGGGCCGAAGACAAAAGAACTCCATCAGGATGCTCAACTTCCTTCAGTCTTTTGTTTCTTACTTGCATATGCAATATATTGTTTTCTGTTATTTTTTGCTTCATGTTCCCAAACTTCTGAGATTTCTCCATTTCCAAAAATTATGATTTTTACCCATAATGTTCATTTTGGTTCAAATAAAACTTTTTTTTGGAGCCCTCTAGCCCCTTGGACTAGAAATATTTTGTCCTCCTGAGTAGACACGGGTGTTCTAAGCCTATACCTGCTGTCCCACTTAACTAATCATGGCCTTAGAGTCTCTGAATCAGAAAACAAACATGTCTGACAACCAATAGGGATGGGACTTTTCTTAAATAACTAAGGAAAATGTGTAACACACTTGATATTGCAACTCCCATGAGTCACCTGAAAGACAACTTCAGACTTAGAACTGAAGAATCAATGCTGTAATGGGTGATTGCTGGGCCTGGAGTTAGGAAGACCTAAATTTAAATCCAGTCTCAGGTACTTACAAGTTGTGTGACCCTGGGGCAAGTCACTTACCCTCAATTTGTATCAGTTTAGCAACTGTAAAATGGAGATAATTACAGTACCCACCTACCAGGGTTGTTGTAAGGAGCAAATGGTGTATTATTTACAATGTGCTAATCATGTTGCCTCCCTTCCTTCTTGACCTCTCGAGATTTCTGCTGGTTCTAAAGAATATTCCTTTGTTGTTGCTCTGTCATGTCCTACTATTCATGACCCCATTTGGGGTTTTCTTGGCAAAGATACTGGAATAGGTTGCCATTTCCTTCTCTAGCTCAATTTACAGATGAGGAAACAGCGACAAACAGGGTTAAGTGACTTGCCCAGTGTCACCCAGCTAGTAAGTGTCTGAGGCCAGATTTGAACTCACTAAGATGAGTCTTCCTGTCTTCAGGGCCAGCACTATATCCAATGTGTCACCTAGTATATTCTTTAGGTTATATAAATTCTAAACATGAGCTATTTTTTCCATCCCTTTTGTAGTAGCTAGTTTACCACAAAAACCACTCACTCATTTAGCAGTCAATTAAAGACAAATGTATGAAATATGGACAGGTGAATCTGATTAATTTCCCTCCTCCAACAATTTCTTCAGATGCTAATGCAATATTAATTCACCTTTTGTGTTTGTACTAAAAAGATGGAAAGAATCACCTTTTGCCATTTTGAATTCTAAAAGGCAGCTAACAATTTTCTGGGTTCACCTGGTTACTTAGTTATCTCTGTACTTACTTTTCACCAATCTAAGTAGCTGATTTATTCAAGGCAGACACGTCAAAAAACCAAGCTGGTATTTCTGGAGGTATAGGTATGAGGCTAATGCCAAATAGGTTTATTGTATTTAGAAAAAGAAAAAAGCACACTTAAATGTTAAAGGTTTATCATCCAAAAGAAGGAGATAGTTAAGCCTTTGTTTCTTCAATGACAATTCCTAGGCCCATGGCCCAAGCCTCGGGTAATCCAACCAAGATGTTGGAAAGCAGAGTACACAGCTGTCCCCATCAGTCCTAGGAGAGCAAGGGAACCTACCATGCCTCGATTCCGCTTGCTGGGTTCTAGAAAAGAAGTAAGAAGAATAAGTTACCCAGAAGGTTCCAAGCTTTATGCTTGTCACACATACCATGAAAGTATCTTAGGATTATCAGGCACTTGGTCTTCAGGAGGTTAACACAGAAAACCACAATTGCAGGCTGAAGTTATTATCAGTACTTGGCATACCAGATAGAAACAATATCATGAAACAGCATTATAGGGTACCTGATAAGACATGGCAAGAGTCCATGACCCTGCTTCTTTGGAGCAGAATTCTTTCCCCTGTGCACTCCTGCTTTTCTTTTTTTTTTTTTTAACTCTTTTTTTATGGTGAGTTTCCCCGAAGCCAAGGTAGATCATTGATCTAAATCTTAGTCCGGTATATTCTCCCAGCCCCTGTCTCTATTCTCACCCCGCCCCTCCCCATTAAAGCCATGTTCAGGTGAAAGAAGATTGAGTAGGTTATATATTAAGGGAACAAACTACATATAGATGTATACTCATATAAATATACTCACCTCCTGTGTAATAGCCATAAGCATAAAGTACACGTCCAATTATCCAGGCAATCCCCAAACCAGAAACTAAGCGCTAAAACAAAAGTAGATTCATTTCAGCATCATAAATAAAACAGAAAAACATTAGACTTAATACCTACATTTGACAAGGTTTTTACTAAGTTTTACCTTTCAGAATTTGGCATATTTATATACTTTGGTTATATGGTCAAATATCTTCCCTTTACTCAAAAGTCAGATATATTTGAGGGGTCAGGCAGCTAAGTGGTGAAGCAGATGGGCCTGGAGTTAGGAGTATATGAGTTCAAATCTGGTCTCAGACATTTAACTAGCTGCGCGACTTTGGGAGGTCACTTAACCTCTGTTTGTTTCAGTTTCCCCATCTGTAAAATGGGGATAATAGTACCTACCTTCCAAGTTTGTTGTGAGGATCAAATGAGATAATATTTGTAAAGTACTTAGCCCTTTATACTGTACATATCACAGTGCCTGGCACATAGTGTGCACTTATATAAATGTTAGCTGACGTTATTATCTCAGCTTCCCTTGCCCCAGAAATACTGAATTGCAGATAGAATTTGGATGTGCTATTATTCTACGGATCTGGGAAAACTTGGGTATAAGTGGGGGTGATGGCAGGGAAAGAAGGGGTGCTAATGGGAAAGATGGAGCTTGTACAATGAATGGGTCAGGTGGACTAGTGACATCAGAGGCCACAGTCATGAGCCTAGACAACTTTGGGGTTACCTCAATTTGTTTGCACCTGAAGAATGAGGTGTTAAACTTTCATGTTTCCTTGTTCCTCTAATTTCTTTACCATGTCATTCTTTAGATCTAAGTTATATATCCATATGGTGCTTATCTTTGCATACAGTGTGAGAGGTTGGTCTAAGTGTATCTAGCTTTTGCTATACTGCTTTTCAGTTTTCCCAGGTTTTGGTCAAATAGTTCTCATACCCATACTTTGCGTCTTTGGGTGACTCAAACACTAGACTACTGTGTTTGTTTGCTGGTGTACATTGCATATCTAATTGGTTCCACTGATAAATCTATTTCTTAATTACAATAATAATGTTGTAAAAACAACTTTGAAAGACTTAAAACTCTGACCAAGGCAACTATGACTGACTATTATTCCAAAGGGTCAATGAAGTGTGCTAGTTCCTGATGGGTATGGCTTAGTATGTAGAACAAAACATATTTCTGGGACATAACCAATGTGATAATTTGTTTTGACTATGCATATTTCTTACAGGAGTTGTCTTTGTCTTCTTTTTTTAACTTCTCCAATGTACGGGGGAGGTGGAAGGGAAAGAAAATAGATTTCAGTTCATTAAAACAAATTGCACAAAAAAAGACTCTATACTTTCACTAAAGTCTTATTGTATGAGCTAATTATAACATTGGCAGTGCCCTTGAGTTTGCAAAATCTGTGCTGCAGGTTTGGAGATGAAAAGGAAACATAAGTCATTCAAGCTACAGAAAATGCTACCAAGCTGGAAAGACTGGGTACAGAATGAGTGAGAGCTAGGCTGGGCCTCAGAATGATATTAGTACAGAGAGACTCACCAGCAGGTTGGCCAAAAGGTGAACTGCAGATTTTGAAAACCACCTATAATCTGTCTCAGTGGAGTGGGCAACCGCACCACCAGAATCCTGTATCCTTGAAGATCGGATGATCTATGGTGTCTTACAGAATCACTGTTCTATACTACAAAGCATTAACCGTTAAATGACTTGGTAATAGTTAAAAATAGAGAGGTTGATCAGTGAAACAGATTAGGTACACAACAAGCAGAAGCAAATGGACACAGTAACACTGTGTTTGATAAATTCAAAGATCTCAGTTATTGGCGTAAGGATTCCCTATGTGACAAAAACTGCTAAGAAAATTGGAAAGCAGTTTGGCAGAAGTTAGGTGTAGACAAACATTTTACAGCAAGCATAACAAGACAAATTCCAAAAAGATGCGAGTTATTCCTAAGCACATTAGAACAAAGAAAAAATTATTTTCTTGATCTATGAATAAGGGAAGAGTTCATGACCAAACAAAGGAATGGAAGGGATAGCAAGATAAAATGGACATAGTGGAATTAAAAAACTTCTGCACAAAATTAATGTAGTTAATGTAGTTAATGTAGTTAAAATTAATGTAGTTAAACTTACAAGGGAGATAGGTATATAGAAAAAATCTTTGCAAATTTCTTTGATAAAGCTCTCATTTCCAAGCTATACAGGGTGGCCCAAAAGTCTTGGTGCAGTTTTAAGCTATGAAAAATCTTAAGTTATGAAGGCTTAAAACTGCACCAAGACTTTTGGGGACACTGTATAACAGGCACTGATTCAAATGTATAAGACTTTAATGTGAAAGACTGGGGAATGGTGATTCCCCAACAGAAAAATGGTCAAAGAATATGAATAGTTTTCAACAACCATATTAAAAACACTCCAAATCACTAATAATTAGAGAAAAATAAATTAAAGAAACTCCACCTCATACCTAGAATGGCAAAAATGACAAAAGAGGAAAATGACAAATTCTGGAGGGGCTGCAGGAAGCTGTGAATTGATGGAGCCATTCTGGGAAGCAATTTGAATTTCTTCTCCCCCTCCCCCAAAGTGCACTTTTATCCCAGTTATACTACTACCATTAGGCCTCTACCCCAAAAAAATCAAAGAGAGAGGAAAAGGACTTATATGTACAAAAATATTTATAGCAACTCTTTTTTTTTTGGGGGGGGTATTGCAAAGAATTGGAAACTAAGGGAGAGTCCATGTTTCGGGAATAGCTAAGCAAATCATGGTATACTAATGTAATGCGATATTATTGTACAATGAACAATGGATAATCTCAGAGAAAACTGGACAGACCTCCAAGAACTAATGTAGAGTGAAATGTGTAAAAATGAGTAATTTTTACAGTGACAACAAATTATAAAGTGGCTTTGAAAGACTTTAGAACTTTGATCAAATGCAATGGGTAAACCACGAGTTCAGAGGACTGAAGATGAAGTTCCTGATTCAGAGGTGATAGACTTAAAAGAGAGAATGGGACATATATTTTTAGACATGACCAATGTGGAAACTTGTTTTGCTGGTCTACACATTATTTGTTAGCTTTTTTAAAAAAAATTGTTCAGTTAGGGGAGGGCAGCAGGATACAGAGATAATACATTTTTTTTTTTGGTGAGGCAATTGGGGTTAAGTGACATGCCCAGAGTTACAGTTAGTGAGTGTTATGCGTCTGAGGCTGGATTTGAACTCAGGTCCTCCTAACTCCAGGGCTGGTGCTCTATCCGCTGTGCCACCTAGCTACCCCGAGATAATACATTTATAAAAAATAAATATATAAGAAAATACTACTTACAGGATGGTAAATACCTCCAACAGCTAGAAAGAATAAATAGGAAGGATACACTTCCAATCTGAAATACAAACACATTAAGATTAATTCTGCTTCAGAAATAAAAGCCTTGTTTAACAAGTTTTCCACAGGAGAACATCTTGACCCTCTCTTTCCTTCCCCTCCCCCCCAAAAAAAAACCCCCAACCACCAAGCAATGGGTTGCAAAGGATGGATTAAGCCACTGGCAGCCACCCAGGAGGTTTAGAAGTCACTCTTTCCCTCCAGCTTTGTAGGGAATCAAGGTCTACTACAGTATGCTAAAGAAAGGTGGCGTACAGATTTACATTAGGAATCTTATCTGGTCAAAAGTTTTCAGGAAGTTCTGATCCCTGGTGTCCTACTTTCTTGGCAACTATTCCTTTTTTTATCTTTAAGAAAATGTTTATTGATGCACCCCTCCCTGCCCACATATATATTACAGCACTCTCCAGTAAATATATACCCATCATACCCCTCTTCACACATACCAAAAATTAAGCAGAACTTCCTCATACAGCAACTGTAATTGATAGAGTAACATTATATACCCAAAGTCCACCAAGTCTCTGCTGTTATGCCTAAACTATGTCCCAATATCAGTCCTTTGGAACCAATGCTGGATTTGATCCCCCCTAGCTGTTCTCACCAGACTGCCTATGCTTACCTAGAAACAGTCTCCATGATTGTACTGCTCTCACTTGTCACTGAGAGGTCACTGTTTGCAAAAAGGTCAGAGGGCAAAAACAAACCTTATTGCACTAATTTCAATATTTTTGACACACAGTCTCTTGCTGGGCTCATGATCAAAGCCTTTCTAGCCTGGTAGGACCTGCCAGTGCTTATGATCCATTGGCATAACTCTAGAGATCCCAGGATCTGAGAAGGAAATTTTGGAATAGGAGGCAGAATGCTCAGGACTTTAGAAATTTCTCTGATTGCCTGATAGGGACAGAAACCAGAGCTTCATGCACAAACATTAAACCCAATACTCACGTATTCTGGTGGGCTCGCTGAATGCAGTTGAAAATGTGCCCATTTTCAGGATCAGTGCTGTACATGGTGGGATACTAAAACAAACACAGAGCTCATGTTAGCCCCAATATTACAGGTTCACATAATTTAAGGCAAACTTTTTAAGGTATTTTTGACAAATATGCAAACCATGACTGGAACACAACCCCTCTTCACCTCCAGGTCTTCCAAAGTAAGCTTTGTTTATTTCAAGGCTCAGACAAGAAGCCTTTCCTGAGGCAGCCCCCCTCCTCCAGCTACTTTGTATTTATTTATGAAGATACATCTTGTTTCCTGGTAGAATATAAACTCCCTGAGGGCAGGGACTTTTATTTTTGTCTTTCTATCTTCAGCATATTTATTGATCTAGTTGTTGCTTAGATATTTCTAGTCATGGAAAACTCAGTAATTTTTAAGTGAGAGTTAATCTGTCTTATGTTAACCAGAAAGCAACAAAGCTTTGGGTCAGTGCTAGCCTTAGAGCAAGGGAGTGGGGTTGGTAAAGGGAATTTAAAGCTGGCAAATAACACAGTTTTAAAATGATGTAACATAATCTTGGATTCCAGATATTGTTCAAAGACTAGCCATTCTTTAGGTCTTTATTGTGCAAGGGATTGTAGTAGGCTTTGAAGGTGATGGAAAGAAAGTGACAGTCCCAGATTCTTCCCTTTTAGACTAAACTCCATAGAATCTGGGACTGTCACTTTCTCTATATCACCTTCAAAGTTAGAAGGCAATAACTACTGTTCAGGCCAGAGGTAGTGAGGATCAAAGCTGGGTAGAGCAAAATTTTGGGGGAAGTTATAGGTAATGAAATCAAGGACATAAGTGATGGGGTTAGTCCTGGAAAGGAAGGAAACCTTTTTTTCTGAGACAGGAGGAAAGGAAAAGAGAATGGATAAAGATACAGAGAAACAAATCAAGTAAGAAAGGAGTTGAAAGAGCTCAGGTCTAATGGTGCTGATCATTTTAATAAAATAAGAGGTGCTTCCATTTGTAGAGAAGAACATGGCATTAAGGGCTTGAGAATAGAAATCTCCTCCTTGGACAGTTAAGTGTTATACCAGAGGGAATCTTCCTCAAAATATAAGAGCTTCCATTACCTCATCACAAGCCTATACTGAATTTTTTTGGGGGGGAAGAGGAAAGAGGAAGGAGGAAAGGAATTTTATTCCATTTAATTCTAAATTTAAACAACAAATGAAAGGAACATTTCCATATGCTAAAGTAAAAAGAAAAGGATGACTATACATGAAGCTACGAATCTCCATTATGCATGGCTTTCTTTTCCTTTAAGTATAATAAAATCAATATCTATATTGCAATTTAAAATGTTATGTCTCTTATTAGGGAAGGTTTAAAAAGCTAAGTAGCCAAGCCAATTAAAAAGTTAAAAGTAAAGACTAGAGGTGTGAAAGTGTGGGAGGAAAAAAAAACTAGAAGAGTGATAGTTTTGACTACTTTGATTTTTTTTCCTTCAACTGAAAAAATACGGCACCCCACCCAACCCATGACTTTCTTTAGAAAGATGGAAAACATTCAGCTTTGCTACTTTATGTTGTTGGATAAGTGAGTTAATTAACATCTCAGTTACTTAAATTTCTCATCTTTATCCTGAGGACAGTGAAACAGAGAATCCTTAAGGTTATTTCAGTGGCTATATTTGGTGGTGGTGGTGTCCACAAGGGCACAGTTCAGTTTTTTGAAGTTTATGATAATGATAGATACCACTGTATAGCTGAGGAAAGGGATGGAGAATCCTGAACTTTGAGTCAGAAGCTGTATGACTGTTTCAAAGCCTCAGTTTCTTTCCCTGTAAAGTGGGGGGAAAACAGTTGTGCTATTCATCTCACAGGATTACGGTGGGGGAAATGATAAAAAAAAAAGTGAGCCACTCAAAAATAGAGTCTTAGATATAGGCCAGGAAAGGTATCTTGGAGGCTATCTTACCTCAAAAGTTATCGTAAACAGGCAAAAAGGGCCAGTGATAGGTCAGAACGTAGCTTGGATTAGATCACGTTCCACAGGGCAAGGTTTGTATCCCATGATTTTGCCAAAGCTTTTGTCTGGCTCTCTCCCCAACTCTGTTGCGAGGCTGAATCCAGAAAACATGATGAGGGAGGGAAAATCTGGGTGGGGGTCCTTATGTTTGGAAGTTTTTTCCTTTTTCTATACACTCACAAAAATCAAAGATGCTATGTTCCCTAATACTCAGCAGGTAGTACCACCATCTGTTAGCAAATGAAATACCATTAAAAACTAATTCAATTATTAAATTTGTAGCTGCCGGAGTAAACTGGTTATAATGTTCCAAGTTCAGTATACTTTAATATATATTTTTTAAACAAAGTAACCTAGATATGTAAAAAGTTCTAAAAGGAACTTTACTAGGGCATCTAGGTGCACAATGGATAGAGCACTGGGCCTGGCTTCAGAAGAACCTGAATTCAAATCTGGCCTCAGATACTTACTAGCTGTGTGACCCCTGGCAAGTCATTTAACCCTCTTTGCCTTTAAATATAAATAAATAAAAAGAACTTTAAATAATTCATTTGATGGAAAAGAATCTCTGTCCTCACCCCAAATAGAAGGTGTCCCAAAAGTCTTAAGGTAGCTTTAAGCTTTTAACTTAAGACTTTTAGGACACCAAATGATCACTTATACATCAATGATTTCAGAAAATAGACATCACTAGTAAAGCCTGGGAAACTGTGTTAAAGCAATAATACTATTGCTACCTCCAGTATAATCTAGACCACAATCCTCCCCACTACCCCAACATGTGTAGTCAGTATGTATCTTTGGTGTATGGTACAAATATTTTTTCTATCCTGGATTTTTCACAGGGAGGGTGTGTGTGTGTGTGTGTGTGTGTGTGTAGGACAGAGCTGATGCTACTCCTAGGCCAGTTTTAAGAAGCTACCATTTATTATCCGACCTATGGCTACAAATTCTTTTGCAGGGTAAGGTTGGCAGGGGAGGTTCCAAGCTGCTTTCACCACACCCTTCTCCCAGGGCAGGCACTTTGGGAAGCTGGCTTCCATACAGTGATTAGAGTTAACTTGCCCACAATTCCTTCCAGTACAAAGCTGACTCATTGAGGCTACCTAGCTTCACATGTTAGTCAAAATTTCCCTATTTTAAATTCTTGAAGCAAAGTCAACATATGAGTTTGAGAGCGGGGGTGGCCAGAACCCTGCCCAGTTTCTGCTCTTTTGTTATGAACTGCCTGAGAAATGCTAGCTGGGCTTCAGACATTTGTTAGGTCCCCTGGCACAGAGCACTATGGTAGATAGTGAGGGAATAAACATTAATTCTTCTAGGGAGATTGAAACCAATACTGAGGATGGCTCATACTTATTACATGCTTTATGGTTTACAAAGTGTTTTCCTCCAAAGAGATATCAGAAGTTACTTCTCCTTGCTCCTTTGCAAGGGGTGTGGGAGGTTGCTTTATTTGCTGGTGTGAAACATAGCATATGTCAGATTTCTCCCCTATATATTGCTTGGCTTTGCTGAATAGTTTTCTCTTTCTCCTTTTTAAAAAAATATTTATTTATTTATTGGCTATAAGGGGTGACTCTCTGGAAGTGAAGGGGACAATTTGGGCTCTATAAAAATAAAATAGATCAATTAAAAATCAGTAAAAAACAAAACACCCACCTCACAACAACCTTGTGGCTAGTGCTAGCATTATTTTTTCCTTCAATTTTAGAGACAGAAAAAACAAGACTGGAGATTGACCTGATGACATCCAGCTGGCAAATGTCAGAGCTGGGTCTGGAACTGGTTTCTGCTAACTCCAGGTCCCACGCTCTCAAATATCAGTTTTGCTATCTGCTGATCCTGGCAAACAGATCAATTCCAGGCATAATTTCCCAACTGAGGCTGAAATTTAGTTTCACAGATTCATACTTCATTATTCCAAAACAACCTAATGAAGCTATTTTGTGAGTAGGGTATTGAAGCTTGGCACCTAGCGCTAAGCCTAGCATATATAGGCACTTAATAAATACATGCTGACTGATTGACTGCAGAATTATAAATCACACTTTAAAAATATATTTGGCTTACAGCCCTGTTAACTGCAGATCCATAAAAATATAATCATAGTACCATATTTCATTTACACAAATGAGAACATTGAGAGGTTAAATTATTTGCCCAGGGTCACACAGGTCAAGCGGTAGAGACGAGATTTGAACTCAGGTCCTCTGTTACATGTTACCATAATGGATGCCTTCCAAACGGCAGATATAAACATTCAATCCTATTTTGAGGTAACCAAGTGTTTCACTCTTCCTTCTTTTTCCCTGTCATAATATCCAATGGTAATGTATCCTTGCAAAAGTTGCCACCATTGCTAGCCTGCCCCTCTCCCTCCCCCCTGCCAAGAGCCAGAGGCTAGCCTGTAAAAAGGATCGGCTCATACCCTTCACTTACCTCCACCTTGTACTTCTTCCGGGCCTTGCCTACATTGATGGCAAGATGAGTGACCAATATGAAACTGGCAGCACCAGTGAGAACCACAAAACCATATTCCTTTGAGAGGACGGCCATCTCGGCACTGTCAGAAAAAGAAGCACACCATTAGGATGCTAAAGAACAACAGACCAGTTTTCAGTGTAGTTGGATGAGGTATTGAGGAGGGATAAAAGACGAAGTTTGAACCAATTTTCATATAATGGAAGAATGAATGGATAAATTTATTTTTATTATTGAATAAATGTATTATTTATAAAAAAGCATTTAAGCACTGACTACCTGTAATATACTGAGTTAAGCCCTGAGGATACAAATAAAAAGCCAAGATATTACTTGCTCTCAATGAGCTGGCATTCTAATAGGGGGAGGTAACACAGGTAAGAGGTTTCAGGTAGAAAGGGCTAGGGAATTTGGAGTGCAGTGGTAAAGTGGATATATTTAATGTCATTTTCACTGATAAAGCCACATACAATTCTGAAGAATGATTGGACACTGCCAAGGAATTTGGTGATAGGAACTTTCTTATCTGGATCTTCAATAGCACTGAGGGGACAAAATGAAAGGCAACATGAACTTGGAATCAAGGGCTGAGCTTGAATACTGACTCTACTTACTAGCTGTGCGTTTGTGGGCAAGTCACACAACCCCTCTTTCTTGGTTATCTTTAGAAAATAAGGATGCAACTTTTACTTACCTTACAGGGTGCTGGGCTCGAAGAGAGTGCTTTATATACTTTAAAGTTCTACAGAAATAATACACACTTGTATATACACACTGAAACATATATGAAGGAGAGGCAATATGATAAAGTGGAAAGGCCAATCTAAAAGACGTGAGTTCACATCCTGTCTTTTATAAATACTAGCTGTGGGACCATGGATAGGGCATAAACTTGCAGTACTCTGGGCAATTCTAAGACCAAATAATAGATAGTTACTGTCCTATGAAATTAGGACAACATAGTATACATTTTTATTTGACTACTTTCCTCTATGAACTCTACATTTCAGTCATCTAGGATTGTACCCTCAAACATGCTGTACTTATCTCCATTGTACCCTTCATTCTATTCCTTATGCCTGGAGTGACCAATTTCCCCCTTCTCTGCCTGGTAAATTCCCGTCTATCCTTTAAAGCTCAATTCAGATTTCACATCTTCCCTGACACCTTTTCTGTGTTCTTCGGATGACAATGAACTTGGCTACCTACAATAATACATAGTATTTTGTTTTACATTCATTATATGTTGTTGCATTTTAGTTAACTGGGTATGTGTAGTATCTTGCTAGACTTCCAGTCTAGCTCCATGAGGGCAGGAATTGTATGTTCTCCAAATTTGGCATTTTCTCTAACAAACAGCTATGCACAGAGTAAATACTTAGTAAGTCTTCACAGAATTAAATATGAGTCTTGGTTATGTGAAAATAGCAAGAAAAAGTAGATCTGTGTTTTTATAATGTTCTTACTAGGTAAATATCCCTGTTAAGGAGAAAAGGTAAAAATAACCTTTGGAGAGGATGTACAATACAGATTTTCTAACACCCCAATAACGATTTATTTATTACCTACCATCTGCTCAGTACTGCTGGAGCATACATGAGTACTAATCACACTAGCTAACATTTACATAGTGCTTATTATGTGCCAGGCACTGTACTAAGCACTTCACAATGATCTCATTAGATCCTCATCACAACTCTAGGAGGTAGGTACTATTATTGTCCCTATTTTACAGATGGGGTAACTGAGGCAGGCAGAGGTTAAGTAACTTGCTCAGGGTCACACAGATTGTAAGCGTTTGAGGACAGATTTGAACTCAGGTCTTCCTGATCCCAGGATTGAACAGATTATCAAAGTCCAGAAAAAGCCGACAAAATCAGGTTTTTCATGAAGACAAAAAAGGGTTTTGTGGGGTTGTTTGGACAGAGGTTCACATGAATTGTGTTTTACATGGGAACTCAGACAGAACAGCTCAGCTATTAAATCATTAAACCAAACACAAAAATGCAAAAGGCTCCGCCTGGCCTGCTCCTGCGTGATGGCCAGATCCCAGCAGGGCACAAGGCTGGCAGCACTGCCCCCTCCATGACTCTGCAACTGGCAGCTATGGCTGTGAAAGGATTGCTCAGCAGGGCCCAGAGACTGATCAGACAAGGACTTTGGCCCTTTCCCAGAAAGCTTTTTGATCATTTCTAGAGTTTAGAAAATAAGTTAGAGAATAAAAAGATAAACGGAGCAGCAATTATTAATAGAATAGTATAAATTCAAACTTATACAACATTTTACAGTTCCAAAGGCAAACATATCACATTTTATAGTTCCAAAGGCAAGACTATACACATACATAAACATATATGTATATATGTATGTTAATAAGTTATATCGAAGGAGAAGGGGGAGAGAAAAAAGGAGAGGGACAGAGATAAAGAGATAGAGACAAGGATAGAGAGAGACAGAAACAGGCAGAAAGACCTGTGTATATACATCTATCTCTATGAATGGCTATCTCCTTTTAATGCCTAGAATGGCCCCACATGTTATCTTCCCCTCTTAAAGATGAAGACAGGTTCAGAGTAATCTTCCAAGGTCACACAATTGGTAAGTGATGAATTTAGGACCCAAACTCAGTTCTGATTTCAAGTTTGACCAGCAAACAAAAATCACATTGCAAATAACATTAATGAAGGGTCTCTACACTGTTCCCCCTCCCCCAACACAAGGACACCTTGTAGACAAAATAGTTCCGATTTTTCTACACATATTCTTTGAGTTATTCCTCTGTCTAGATGTAAGCAAGTTTGCTTCAGTCTTTTTCAAGTTTATAAATGAACAAGACAATTATATTCCAAGTCACATAGTAGTATATTCAATTCGAACAATTTTTAAGTGGCCATTATGTATGAAACAGGCCCCATGGTGTAGGGAACAGAGTGCCAGACTTGGAGTTAGAATGATCTGGGTTCAAATCCTGTCCTATTAACTATGGGATCCTCTGCATGCCACTTAACCTCTAAGCCTCAATTTTCTCATCTGTAAAATAGAAAAAAAATTGAAAAAGAAATGCCTTCAAGGAGCTTAGATTCTCCTGGGGTATGCAATATGTAGACAATTGTAATACATGAAAAACTGAGGCAGTCAAGGACATTAATTGGAGTGGGACAAGTCTGAAAAGGCTATCCAGAAGAGGCAGCAAGGCTAGCTTAGCCTTGAAGGTAGAGGAAAAATAGAAATGAGGAAAGACTGCATTTACAGGCATGCAGGATGGCTTTCACAAATGCACCTAGTCAGGAGAAAGGATGTAGAGTTCAGGGAATGAATGGCTCGTAGTCCAGTTTGACTGAAACACAGTTTATTAAGGGGAAAAGTATGAAATAAGTTCTGGGAAGGTAAGATCATACATTTAGACCTGTAAGGGACCCAGGAGTTCATTTAGCCCAACCTCTCACTTTTACAGATGGGAAACCGATGAGGTTAAGTAATTTGTCTAAGATCACACATGAGGCGGTATGTGCTAGAGGCTAGATGTGACCTCAGTTACTGAGACCAAATTCGGGACTCTTTCCACTACACTACATTGTGGCTAGGTAAAAACTAAATTGTTGGGGACCTTAAACACCTAGCTAAGGCATTTGCATTTTAGCCTAAAGACAATGTGGAATTCCTAAAGGTTTCTGAGTAGAGAGATGGCACAGTCAGATTCCTAGCTTAGGAAAATTATTTTGGTGGAAGTGTGTAGGATGCATTGGGGGTAGAAGACTAGCTAGGGAGAAAAAAAATGAAGGCTCTAATCCATAGACCAACTTGAAGTCATTGAATGACCCATAGAAAAGTAGTCTAAAAATACAAGGGTTCCAATTTATTGACCCCACCTTTTTTTTAAGGGCACATGTAGGAGTTGGGGAAGCTAATATCCTTAGAATAAGCAAAGAATACTCAGGAAACCTTCTTGGTACAAATGTCACTAATTGACATTTCAGAAGTTTGATATTTATATGGATTTACATATAAGTTCTTCTTTTAAAATGCTAATGGTTTCTGGAAGGAACAGAAGTCACAACTCTGTATAAATTAATCAGCCCTACTTAATGGAAGGTGGATTTTTGTTACAATGAGTCTAGGAACTATGATTTGAAAAAATAAAGGAGGCAGGAATAAGCCTGAAGCAGAGGAAGCCTCACCCGCCTTCTCTGTACGTGTTGCCAATTGGGTGAAGGAGATAGGTTTGGACAGGCAGAGGAAAATATAAAGAAATTTGCCAGACTTTTACAAGTTACATGCTAGGCACTATAGACACAAAGACACAAACCAAAGTTTTCCCTGTCCTCAATGAGCTTATATTCTATTAAACCTTTGGTGACTAGGTGCAAATACAGAAGAGGAAGTGGCAAAAGACAAACTTGGCCCAAACAGCTGGTGATGGCAGCTGCACTCATCAAAAAGAAAAATCCCCTTGCTGGTTTGACTAGATCATTCAAAGTGACCTTCAGACATTATTCTCATTTAGAACGTTTTAAAATATCTGAAAGATTACATGTACCAATTATTATTGAGAAAAAATAGCTGAGAATAAAGGGCAGACTGTACTAATAGACATCAAATCTACCTTGCTTAAAAGTATTACAAGGATCTCTGAGTGAGCTAGTATGGATAATTCCCTTCATAGACAAAGCAGATCTGAGTGGGTAGTCATCATGATTTACTGCAGTTGGAAGGAAGAAGGCCAACTATCTAGTTATGAGCCTCTCTGGGCTTAGCTAGGTTCACCCTCAGAACCAATCACCAGGCCCATATGAAAAGACTCCCCAACTGTGAGCAACCAGCATTTACTATGCTCTTACTATGTGCACTGTCGGAGCTCATTTGCTCAATTGGAAATGTTCTTGTAAACCCAGGGTCATCTCTCTGCCATCATGAGGAAACAGAATCAGGTTTTTGTGAGTCTATACACAACACTTTTGACAGTGCATAGGAGGTGGACAAATGGTGAGGGATGATGGGAAACAAGCCAAAACCCCGCCCCCCCCAAACCTCACACACAGCACAATTCACTCCAAATTTAAAATAACCGGATCGATACTTGCT